ACACGGCGAAACAAACAAAGCGATAAGGGAAGAGAGGGGGCTTTGAAACGACGCCATTTTAATCATCTTCGGACTTATCGAACCGGTTCTTGATAACCGAGTATAAAATTGACCCAATCCCATCATCATTAGAATTGATTTATTATTTAAAAATAGAAATAGTATTTGATTTGATTGCAGTTGTGTGTGCTGTCCATAACATAGCTTTTAATTGTCAATTGAACCGATCCCACGTCGGTATGGATTGGTTTACTCATTTCTCCGGTGTATGTATCTACGTCTATATACGTACGTGTATATTGCCCAAAGATTAGATTGATTCCTTCTTCTGATCCCTACTTAACTTTAATAATTGTTTCCATTTTCCAATTTACGACAAAGAATTCAACTTTGTGCGAATTGGAATTTTGATTGCAAATTTCTGGGCAGATTCTTTCCAAGTCGGTCGGAGCTATTTAATTCGATGAGAATTGGGATATGGTGATCGTTAAGACAAGCCTCCTCTCATGGCGAGTTTTTTGGTCGGCTTCTTGTTGCCTTCGCTACTTCTGGCAGGTACGATTACGATTCCTTCTTCTTACTTGCCTCCAAATCCAACCCAATGTGCACAAAACCCTAACCTCATATGGGTTGAGCCTTGTCGTTTCCTGTGATCTTGAGCTTGAACATTGTAATACATCATGAGGCTCTCGCTACTCTATCAATCACCCACCTTTTCGCATTCCTCTACTGTTTTTATATCTCCAACATTCCGTGGCTTTTGCTTTTTCTTGTCACTTCCTTCCTTTCTCATGGTGATATCATACAGTGTAGAGATTTAGCACGAGCTTTTCCTTTCCTCATGATTTTCTCTTGTGTCACAGCTGCACTTATTAACTGGAGTCTCATATCCTTTGTTGATTTGATAGCTTTCCTCCTCGTTCACTATATTGCACCTGAAATTGGTAAGTCTATTTTCTACTTTCCCTCTATCCAGCTTTCTTGGATCATTGATTTGGGGCAAGTTGTTTCCTCTTTAGATTGAAAGGGTTTATGTACTTTTTACCCACCCTGATCAAAATAATTCTACATTCCCCAGTTTTCATGGCTTTTATCGGTTATGGTTGATAAGCTCATGTTTACTTTCTCAAACTTGCCTCCTCTTATCGTGCTTTCTTTTTCCAGGATACCGTTTTCAGAGGAGGCATTGGCTATTATGGCCCATTTTCATTTTTTCCTTTGCAGTACTTCTTGCTCAAGTGCTGTACCTTGTCGTTTGGGCTGCTGTAGGTCAAGACTGGGATACACCAGATACTGGTTGGCTGAGGGTTATTGGCTTTATGATGTAAGAGTTAGTCTCATTCTTTCATTCATCTTACTTCCTTATAAATACTTCCTGCTTAGTTGATACTCTCTTGTTTTTGCTTTTGCAGATTAAAGTCATGGAGAAACCCCACTGTTATGTATTTCTTGGCTTTACAGCTACTAACATCACTAGTTGCTTTAGCTGACATATACAGTAGTAGATTTGGCTTCGTTCGATGGCGTTACACATGGTGGTCTCGCTTTTCAGAAATTTTCGAACAGCTAGGTTTGTAATTAATGTAGTAGCCCCGTACAACTTGTCCAAGTAGCTACTGTAACTTTTTTTTTTTCTCATCTGGTTAAGTAATGTCTATTTTGAGAAGAATAAGCACTGGTATCTGATACAATTTTCTTTATCTATCTTGATATCAATTTGGTTTGACATAATCTCAATCGCTTATGACTCAGGAAGTCATCTTAGGGTTGCCTCCTGCTTGTTGTTACCAGCAGTTCAATTAGCAGTGGGAATCTGCAATCCATCATGGGTTTCTTTGCCATTTTTTATTGGCAGCTGTGCCGGTCTTGTGGACTGGTCCTTGACAAGCAACGTTTCAGGACTTTTCAGGTGGATAAATTGTTGTTTATTATGCAAAGTTGCTTCCCATCCCTGCTTCTCTAAACTGCAGTCGTTTTTTGTATGATTTAGGTGGTGGAGAGTTCTTTATATCTACTCAGGATTCAACATTGTCCTGCTGTACCTCTATCAACTACCAATAAACTTTTCAGATATGATTCGATGGATAGCAAGCTTTATAGGTCTATTCAAAATCTCCGCGGAAACTGAAGGCACTGATATTTGTTCTGGTCTTTTCCTTGTGTTATTCTACATCATGGTATGTCTTTTTTCTGTCTGTCTAGGATTAGTATCGCTTGCTCTCGTACAAGTGTAAAAATGATAGTTATTTATGGTTTATCAATGGAAAACTTATATTACTCAACCATATAATTCATGAACTGTTTCTCAAAGCAACTGTTAATATGTGGTAACCGTGTTTGGGGTGTTGTGTATGAACACAAATAAACAGTGTATTTTTTCATTTTGGTTAATTGATTTATCCGTCCTGTTAACGAGCTATCACTCTATCAATATATCTGCAATAGTGAGACATGCCTGTATGTCTGCCATTGCAGTTATCCTATGTAAGGTCAGACCTTGAGGATATGGACTTTATCATGTCCACGAGTGAAAATAACTTGGCAGAGCGGCTTCTTCCTCCAAAATATTCGTTTTTTATTCGAGAATCAAGGTATGCAATTTAGATTTTTGTTATGTTTCTTCCTACTGGGGGCTGTTGTGGTGTTTGACACAGAACTTCAGCGTTAAACAGAGATTTTAATATGCCTATATTAATTAGTTTGTGACTCTGAAGCGGAAAAGAAAAGCTTGTTCAAATATGTTCACATGATTCGTTTTATGATTGTAGATGGTAGTTACTCTCCTGTCTTTGGCTCATAGAACTATAATCCGTGGCTATAGAATTAATGAAAGAATCATGTACTTTTCGGGTGAATTCTAGGCTGTTTATGAGGAGTTAAGTTGAAAAATGAGAAGTTGATTGGACCCTTGCTGTATTTAGTGGGACCAAATTACTTTTTTAATTCCAGTGTTATGAATTTCAACTTGATTTATGAAAAAGCCTCCAAAGTGTTGAAACTCTTTGGTTTTCGATACTCAAGGAGTTGACACTACAAAAATCTGGAAACTTAGCACTGGAACCTTTTTAATAAATTTAAAAACTCTGTGATTTCGTTTCTCTGCAAGCATAAACTATTGGGGTTGGTTAAAGCTCCAGTGTCTCTGCTAGCATAAACTATTCGTTTCTCTACAGCTTGTTCACACATTCTAATGGATGCTCTCTTGGTTGGCTTTACAAGACTAGACATTCATATGTATAATAGTTACGGTCAACATAATGCGTTAATTTCTTCCAAATTTTCAGGGCTGGTGTAAGGCACACCAATGTTTTACTGAGGGGAGCTGTGTTTAAGACTTTCAGTATCAACTTCTTCACATATGGTTTTCCGGTATATATTTGTATTCCTTGTATCAGAGTGTATGTGTCAGCTAAAGCAACGTATTGTGTCCAGAAACTCACACTCTATTATTTTGCTTCCATGATTGCCAGGTCTCTCTGTTTGCTCTTTCATTCTGGAGTTTTCACTTTGCGAGCTTGTGTGCTTTTGGCCTCCTTGCATATGTTGGTTACATTATCTATGCCTTCCCGTCGTTGTTCCGCTTGCACAGATTAAATGGCCTTCTTCTCGTATTTATACTATTATGGGCTGTTAGTACATACATATTCAATGTGGCATTTTCTTTTCTGAACACTAAGGTCGGAAAGGTTGGTAATGTATTTTCTATGGGCAAATCTCAAGCACTTGAAAGAATAAAATGTTAATTAACCAGTGTCGTAAATATGCAGGACATGAAGATTTGGGAGATGGTGGGACTTTGGCATTACACTATACCTGGATTCTTTTTGCTTGCTCAATTTGGTTTGGGGATGTTGGTTGCGTTGGGTAATCTTGTGAACAACTCTGTTTTTCTGTACCTGTCTGAAGAGAGCTCCAGATCTTCCAGTGACAAATTTTATGCTGAAGGTAATGGCCTCACATATGTTTCTGCAAAGCGAGTTATCTGGTGTTTTCCAAATTCCAGGCTTGTCAGGACCTCTAAAATTGAGAAAATGGGCTGTATTTGTTTATTGTGATCATCCTGTCATCTTTTCTGCATCATGTGACCTGAAATCATCCAAGGCATTTTAAGAGTTACCACTATCCAAAATAAGTTTTGAATTTTGTTTTGCTATATAATAATCATCGAAAATAATTTTCTACTGTGTGATTTGAAGGTGAAAAGCATAATAGTATTATATTCTTTGGCAAGCTTAGTTTATTTCATGCCGATTTTAAGTGGTAATTCAATCTTCTGCTTTTTATTCAATTTGAGAACTGTTCTTAATGGCTGTATTATCCTCAATCGCAGCTGATGAAGAAACAAAGGTGTTGGTCGTAGCCACCATTGCTTGGGGTTTGCGGAAATGTTCACGGCCTATTATGCTCGCACTGATTTTCTTCATTGCCATGAAACCTGGGTTTTTCCATGCCGTGTATGGTATGTTTATTATCCCTCCTATTTGCTTTTATAATAAGGATTCATCTATCTGGGTTTTTGTGAAAAACATTTTTAATGATACTATTTCCTAATTGACTTATCTTTCAGTGATATTCTTCCTTATATATCTGCTGAGCCACAACATCAACAGAAAGATACGCAAGTCCTTGATTCTTCTATGCGAAGTTCATTTTGCACTTCTCTACATTCTTGAGATCGACCTGGTGTCAAACTCCTTGAAGCGGGAAGGCTCTGTGAGCAGAGAGATTCTATTTCAGTTAGGTACGCTTCTCTTTCTGTATTTTCTAAAAGTTATAGTCTAGATTCAGGTATCATCAGTTTCCTTTCAAAGTTGGCTGCTAGGTGATAGTATTAGATTAAAGAGAAACATGGACTAGGGAAGAGTTCTCATTGATAAATCTGTGTATGAATAATTGCAGGCCTCCTTAGGTCTGAAAGCTCTTGGGACTT